CGATAAAGCGGCACGACACGAGAACCCTCTCATCGTGGCCGCCGGTAACTACATTCCCGATCCTGCGGACAGAATGGAAAGCAGTCGACGTCGCCCAAAACACGTCATCTCGGATCCTCCCGATCCACTAACGGTGCTTTTAGGTACTTCAAGCACCGGTCACCGTTCTCGTCGAACCCGTCGCTTGCGACGAAGGGCTCGACGAGTAAATTAACTCTCAGACACAGCCCACTGAGTTTCTCGCCGGATCTTCTCAGTGGGTCGCGTTTCCGATCCGGTGGTAGATTCTGCGAAGCACGACTCTTGCTAGGGTTCGTGTTAGCAACATCGTCAGGTTTGAGCCCCGTGAGCTCACCTACTAAAGTTAGGGTTACGCTGAAATAGCCGCTAGGGCTATCAGCTTAGGTAGGAAAAAAAAAAAAAAAAAAAAAGCTACATACGAATGCACCGGACGCTTTATTCTTTAGGCCACGACGACTTACAAATAATGAAGTATTTTGTTTGCCCTTTGTCTGAGTGTTTATTATCTATGTATTTAAACTATATAAGTATGTATATCCGCGTCTGGTTCTTAGTCCAAATAATCCTAGTTTGGGTCCAGATAACTGTGATTTGATCTCATTATGCAATTATTTCCCTATGGGTTCATGGGCAACCACTTAAATACCAGGTAAACCATGAGCTGGCTTACCTATTAATACTATAATTAATAGAGATGAATCTGATATCCGGTATCCGGCTATGTTTTCACTATCCGGTCGGATACCGAATAGTAAATCAGTACCCGGCCGGATTTCTTATAGTAAAATTTAAGAAAATCTCATGATTATACAAAAGGCAAATAATACCACAATAGGTTATGGACAAGTTTTATTTTTATAATCGCACGTTAAAAGTGAAATAACAAGTGGAAAATTGTGGTGAATGAATACCAAATCGTCGTCGTACCGAGTCGTCGCGATCTCCGCTCACGTGCGACAACACCCGAACGCACACGAGTATTTCCGAAAGGGCCGAATATCCGGCGGTTCGGCCTCGCAGCTTGCCGAATATTCAGTATTACTTCATCATCATAATCGGTTGCTCTTGGCAGAGCAGTCGTGGTAATGTGGTATTCTTGCTCATTAAAGCCTTGAGAGATGTTTTCCACAGTTTACGAACCGAGGTCCGGCTGTACAGTACTTAGGGGCTGATATTTTTATCTGGGTTAAGAGATTAGGTCTATCCGTTATTCCATGAATTAATCAGGTGGATACCCCCACGCTGAACGAATATTAACCTATTTTATTATGTATTACTTACACATGTCCACCTTGAGATTTCGTCCTTCTTGTTACATGTCTGTGCAAAACCGAGTTACTTATGGTAAATTGCTTAGGTATTTCAACTAAAGACTTATTCCTAATTTCATAGCTTCTATTACTGTTTTTAATATTAAGAGATCATATCTCAAGGATTTGCACTCTTTGATACGTACACGCGAGGCATATCGAAAAATGGAAAACAACATGTAACTGATAATATAAATATTTGCCAAACAATAAAATAACACTGCATTGATAATTTTGAATAAAAGTTCTAGACAAAAACATCATGATAAACCAGATGCTTACCAACAAATTAAAAAAATATTGTTTTAACTACATAGATAACCCTACAAACCTGTACCTATTTATACTTAGTTCGTTTCTATTTTACTTATTTTCATCCCAATTGACCCCTTTTTCGTTGTTATTTGTACCTGACACGTCCCCAATATCCCCAAAAACAACAGATTTTTACATGTATTCTTATTTTATCAAAAATATTAAAATCAATAACAACTGAGACTTACCTTTAATATATATGATGGTTCAAACACTAAATAACGTTTATAAATCACAGTCGTCTTCTATTATTATCAGATAAATAAAAGAAATCAACGTTTTTAATACTAAAATAATTACCACCACAAGAAGTCAATTTGAAATGCAATTTTTTATAAGTGAGCAGCTATTTTCATGGATATTCAGAGTTGTTTTGTGAACTTTCAACGTTCTACTATTACAGTACAAAAAATAGAAGATTTTGCAACGATAAAAAGATTAATATTGAGCGTCGAAAGATGTTCCTGGTTTTTTCCCTAATCGCCCCATTTTACGGTACCTACCTACATGTACTAAACGTATTATCTATGCGCTGTCATTTGTCAACTTAGGAAGTTCCGCTATGGCTCTCGAATATATTAAGTGTATAATCTATGGCTATGGCGGTCGCACTATTAATAAATAAAAGAATTCAAAAAGTATTCCGAACACATGTTAAATTAGTTAGATCTGTTACTAGTAACCATTCTATAATATTAAATAAACCGCAATTAAGCATAGTATGTAAGCAATGTGCTGTTACGAGCTATCTCAGAGTAAGTTTTCAAAAATTTGTATAATAAATAATTTTATAGTATAGTTTTTTATCATTATTGTTTCATGTACTAAGTGTATTTTTTGTGCTTTTAGTTTTATTCGTCGCCAAGCCCGAACAATCAGGGGGGTCAGGATTCCGCCAAAAATGTTTTGGCGGCAGTGTTGGCAAACAAACCAAAGACTGGGAAAATACCCGTTGGTGAGTGATGAGCTTTATGTAAAATACAAAATTCAGATCCTGAGCAGTCTATTCTTTTTAGATAATTTGTTTTATGCTCGTATTATTCGTTAATTTAGTTGCATTACATAAGTCTGGAACCTGACCTTGTAAACGATGTTTGTTTAAATTCGTCATGGCATTCAAAATGTTTTATATTCCGAAAACCGTAAATTGATTCAATAGTATTGAAGACCGCAACTGTGATAAAATGGCCATGAAACGAAGCAAATTAATGAGGGGTCTTTATTGAAGTTTAATTTAACAATTAAAAGGAATTTCAATTTTTTAAATTTGGTAGAAAAGTGAGATACATAATTTGAATTTGTATTTATTAATTACAGAATGTATCTTACATTTTACCTATATCTTACATACTGTTTGTTTTGTGATGTTGTTTTATAGCTTTGTTATCTCTGTTCCTTTATGATAGCTTATATCAACTTAAATATATATATACTTATTATAATACTTCATTTATTTTTATTCCAAAGAGATTCAAAGATTTTTCTTTCCTCTTATATTGTAATATTACCAGGTTTTTATAATCTATACATATAAATCAAATTGGAGTGTCTGTTTGTAATATTGTAATAAGTGCTTTTTACTACATACATACATACACCAAAATAACATTTTTTACAATTTTTGTGTGTCTGTCTGTTCGGGCTAATCTCTGAAACGGCTGGACCAATTTTGACGAGACCTTCACTGATAGGTAGCTGATGATATAAGGAGTAACTTAGGCTACTTTTTTAGGCTAGCTTCGCCCCGCGGCGTCATTTTGCGGTACGTCAATAACCGCGGGTAACATTGCGTGACTCAGCTACCTATTAATAATAAAATTTAATGTTTCCGAAGCGAAGTGAGGGTGGGTCGCCAGTTAGATATAAACTTTGCTACAAAAAAAAAAAACAAAAATGACACTTTTATTTACTACTTTGTGTTTATTACTAATTACTTGGTTGGAATGCAGTCTCCTTTCCCACATTATTCCTGTAGTCAGCTTCCGCTTGCCTGTCCTTTATGTTGCCTGTTATTGGTTGTCACTTGTAATTTCACATTAGTGTAATCTAGATTTGTAAATGAGTATATATGCATGTAAATAATGTAATGTATAATACATATTAGTTTTGATACTCACTCCAATGTATTATAAATCACAATGACGAACATACAAACATGCACAATTATTGCTCATTTTGAAGCTCAAATTAAATTTTGTTTTTTTGTTCCTATTTAAAATGACAGATATGAGAAAAAATCTATATTAGAAATTTAAATTGCCTACAATTTTTTACTTAAATTGACACCAATATTTGCATGCTCAATCTTAAATGTAAATAAAATATATAAGTAAAACGAGAAATGTTCTTCTGAAATCAGAATTGGTGACAACCTATCCTTGAATATATCCTGAAACACTCCTTTTACTCCTTAGGGGTCCAAAAAAGAGACTGNATATGAGAAAAAATCTATATTAGAAATTTAAATTGCCTACAATTTTTTACTTAAATTGACACCAATATTTGCATGCTCAATCTTAAATGTAAATAAAATATATAAGTAAAACGAGAAATGTTCTTCTGAAATCAGAATTGGTGACAACCTATCCTTGAATATATCCTGAAACACTCCTTTTACTCCTTAGGGGTCCAAAAAAGAGACTGTTTTCACCCAGGTGCATCTGTTTTGTCCCGTGAAGATATAAGCCTGGGTGATACGAAACCTGTTTCCACTGTGGACATGTTCAGGGGCTTGATGGAGTATGTATGGCCTAAGGTGAGAACAGTTTGTATAATTTTAAAATTGTGAGATTAACACAATGACTGCAATATTATTAACTGCTGATATTTCCCGAGCGTTTTGTAGTGTGTAGTGTACTTTATTGAAATGAAGTCTAAAAACTTCTCATTATTATTATTTTCGTAGCTTTAGTAAGTAGTAAATTGCTCACCTGACTGTGATTTGTCACTACTGTATGTTAGATTAGTTGAGTTGAGTTGAAAGTAAATTATGCCTTTTATTTTAAAAAATGTGTAAGTGCTTACTTGCATCTTGTATATTCACGATTTTAACATTACATTTGATAGTTTTTTCCTAATTCTAATGAATATGAAATTTCTTATTTGGCTTAGGTCCATGGAGTAGGGCGAATACACAGATTATTAAAAATGTTACAGGATAACCAAGCCATCCGGAATCGTGTAACACTGTCCCTGTCACTCCTGTTTGGTGCGAAAGTGATGAATGTGACGGTGCCATTCCTTTTTAAATATGCTGTGGACGAAGTGAACCAAGTGGCGACGACACCGGCCGGAGACGCGCTGCTCGGCATGGCCACTGTGCCGCAGGCGCTAGGAACAACAGCTTTCAGCTTATTGGTAGGATGTAAGTATAATAGATGATTTTTTGATTTTGAATGATTAAAATTAGATTAAACATGAAGAACTATTTAAAAATAATTTTATCCCTATCCTGTCTGTTTTTGTCATAAAACAGTGAAGCGTTCCCAGATTCAACCATGGACAACTATTACATAATACAATTTAGATTTCGACGTCACATCCTTCAGTGAGCGGCTTATACAAAATTGTAAAAACATGTTTGTTGGAGAAGACACAATTATTAACACCATCGTAAGATATCATAGGGGCGAATAGGGTGATTGAGTTAAGAGAAATATTGAGTACACCAATCACGTTTGTTGTCTTTGAATAATTAAAAAATCTTCTCTTGACGTTAGCAAACGAAAACGAATGACAGTTCTTAGGACGGAGGCACCGCCCTTCAAGAAGGCTGGTTGGTAAGTAAGTGGCGTCTACGCGCCTCCATCGGCTAGGCTCTGGTGCAGCACGAAGCTAGCTGAGTTCCGATGATACCGNAAGAGAAATATTGAGTACACCAATCACGTTTGTTGTCTTTGAATAATTAAAAAATCTTCTCTTGACGTTAGCAAACGAAAACGAATGACAGTTCTTAGGACGGAGGCACCGCCCTTCAAGAAGGCTGGTTGGTAAGTAAGTGGCGTCTACGCGCCTCCATCGGCTAGGCTCTGGTGCAGCACGAAGCTAGCTGAGTTCCGATGATACCGCAATCGTGTTGCCATTTTTTATTTTTTTTATTTTTTTATTGCTTAAATGGCAGGATGGTGGTACCTACCCATGCGGACTCTCAAGAGGTCCTACCACCAGCCGAGTTCTGTCACGTCTCTGGAATCGTGCTGCGTTTCGTTTAGCTACTCCTAGATGTTCGTTGAATGTATTTGCAGACGGGCTGGCGCGCGCCACGGCGGCCGGCTTCAACGAGCTGCGCAACGCCGTGTTCGCGCGCGTCGCCCAGCACTCCATCCGCCGCCTCGCCTGCAACGTCTTCACGCATCTGCACAACCTGGACCTCGGCTTCCATCTCGGCAGGCAGACCGGGGCCCTGTCCAAGGTTATTGTTGTATTTCATTCATTTATCTGAAAATATTAATTAAAAATACTTAATTTAAAAAATGATTGCTCTAAAAACAGTCTTCTGCACATCATATCATATCGAGGACTGCTCATTAATAGCCTTTGCACTTGGGAGGAAAAAATTGTAATGATATATAATGTATGTCTGATGATTATGTGTTAGGTTTTTAAGTTACTAACATAGATTATAAGTAAATCTTACTAATAAAATAGTATGGTTTTTGTTTAAAAACTGAAATAAAGTATTAATAAATAATAAAAATAAAATAAAATATATTTTTCAATATAATAGATTTAAATTTCAACAATATGGCAACCCTGCGAATTTATTCATATTATTATACACATATCGATTGTGCTGTGCTGGGTGAGAGCAAAGTAGGGCAACAACTGCCTATGCAGTCACACAGCTGAATCATCTTCATTTCATTTCATTTCACTCCATATTATCACTTTTCATAAAATTAAGAATATGACTTAAAACAAGACATGACTTAATGGTCTTAGTTACCAGGTCATAAAATCCCTTAAAAACACAGCTGCATAGAAGGGTTGCTCCTTCTGACGAGAGTTGCTTGTAGACTGAATCACGTTAAGTCCAGCTCATGTGACTGCAGGATCCTTACTAGTCGTGAAGTCACTGTGACCCACACTGCAAGTATCACTGGTGTTCCGTGGCAGCTGCAAATCTTTGTCTCCAATCTAACAAGGCGTTTGTGTTCCAGACAATAGACCGGGGGTCGAGGGCCATAAACTTTGTCCTTTCGGCCATGATTTTCAACGTTGTACCGACCATATTCGAGCTCACATTGGTGTCTACTATACTGGGAGTCAAGGGAGGACTTGCTTTTGCGGGTACGTCATGCACTTTATCGGCAAACTATAAATAAGATGACACGCTGAACTTTTTACCGTGCGTCATTGATAAAACTGCTGTACTCATTTTTAATACGCTTTTATTAGCTTCAGACGTATGTATGTATGTTTGTAACGGAATCTTTGAACCTGATTTTGACCCCCTTTAAAACGTCGGATTAACTCGAAATTTGGTATACTTATTAAGGACCGATGACAATAATTATTATTGTCAATGTAATGTTTCAATATTAAAAAAAAAAGGAAAAATTTGAAATTCAACTAAAAAATTAAAAATAAATAATAGCTTAAAAAAACTAACATAGTACGCTATTATAGAAAATCCAACTAAAAAATAGAAAATAAATTTTAATAAATTTGAATTGCAGCATTGTTGATCTCCACAAGCTACAGTGACTGTTCACTATTAAGATCATATCGCAGTTCACTTGTGAAGGCAAAAAATGAATCTAAAGTACATCTATAGATTGTAATTTACTGCAGTTTCGGTGTGGAGAAAAACTAACCGGAACAATTCAAATGCTGAGCTAGTTCAATAGTAATATACGTTAGAGATACTAATATAAAGCTGAAGAGTTTGTTTGTTTGAACGCACTAATATCAGGAACTACTGGTCCGATTTGAAAAATTATTTCAGTGTTCATTTATCGAGGAAGGCACATCACACTAAAGAATGTTTCAAAATTGAGGTTTTTTTTTCCTTTTGAGAGCTTCCGCTGCGTGCGCTGCAGAAACGGTTAAAGTTTCGCTAAAATAATGCATGACAGAATTGTTCCCCTTTAAAAGATTAGATCTAGAAAAAAGTCCGCGATAGCATAATATGTCTATATGTTAAGGTTGGCTCACTATAAGATTTTTTATGCTAACCAAATTTGTTCTAAAATATAGCATTATTTGTAAACTATACCCTCAGACACAGTCGACTGAGTTTCTCGCCGGATCTTCTGAGTGGGTTGCGTTTCCGATCCGGTGGTAGATTTTGCAAAGCACGGCTCTTGCAAGGGTTCGTGTTAGTAACATCATCCGGTTAGAGCCCCGTGAGCTCACCTACTAGTTAAGGCGACGCCGATCAGCTTAGGTAGAAAAAAAAATATGCAAAGTATTCGACGCGGACGAAGTCGCGGGCAAAAGCTAGTAGTAATATGCGTTAGATTAGTTGTGTCTGCGCGCGCAGGGCTGGCGGTCGGCTGCGTGGGCGTGTACGCCGCCTTCACGCTCGCCATCACGCAGTGGAGGACGCAGTTCCGCGTGCGCATGAACCGCGCGGAGAACCAGGCCGGCAACACCGCCATCGACTCGCTCATCAACTACGAGACCGTCAAGGTGACTGCCCTGCACGCGGCCCGTGGACCTCAGCACTGCCGAGCCCTACTCTCCACAAGCTGCGTTTGAAGAAGCATATGTTATAGCGCTTGGGAAACACTAGAAGGAGAGCGTATTCCAAAGTTGGGTGGTATGGTATAAAAAATCTGAAAACGCACTATGGATGAACGCAGTGGAGCAATTAGTGAGGCTTAGTGGTGTTTTGTTAAAACTAATGTTCGCAAAAGCTATAGAAATTCGACCATAAAACTTACTGGTTATAGGACCTTTTGTGAGTCCGCCTATTTCTGCCGTCAACCAGTAATACGTTTCAGTTTGAAGGGCGGGGCAGCCGTTGTAACTATACTTGGGACCTAAGAACTTATATCTCAAAGTGGGTGGCGGCATTTACGTCGTATATGTCTGTGGGCTCCAGTAACCACTTAACAGCAGGTGGGCTGTGAGCTCGTTCACGCATTTAAGCAATTATTTATAAATAAAGATAACGGTTTTGTGTCCGTCACAGTACTTCAACAACGAGCGCCACGAGCTCGAAAAGTACGACGCCAGCCTGCGCCAGTACGAGAGCGCGTCCCTCAAGACGGCGTGGAGCCTCGCCGCGCTCAACTTCGGACAGCACGCCATCTTCAGCGCCGGACTCAGCCTCGTCATGCTGCTCGCCGCGCGGGAGATAGCCGCCGGTACGTCGCCGCACCCCCGCCCCAACCCCCGCCCCAACACCCCCCGCCGCACCCCCGCGCACGTGTTGCTAGTGTTCCAACTACAGCAACGCTTCGCACTATCGAGCACTCTCAAAAGTACTGCTCTCGCGTGATACTCGCAATCGATACTAACTCAGTGACAGACCTCAGTAAACCTTTATTGTTGAAAAAACTTGTAAGGCTTTCGTTTCGTCGTAGTTTCTTGGAAATAATCAAAGTTAATTCAAATTAGGCTAAAAAAATTAATATAAGTACGGATGAAGGTACAAAATTCTTTTTTCTTCTATATTCCAAATTTAAAATGTGAATACAATTTCATTTATAAAATTCGAATCTGTAAACAAATTTATTTTACAGGAATCTTTGTAACTTTTGTAACCAGCGGTAGGCAGCGGCTTGGCTCTGCCCCTTGCATTGCTGAAGTCCACGGGCGACGGTAACCACTCACCATCGGGTGGACCGTATGCTTGTCTGCCTACAAGGACATTAAAAAAAACATTGCAATAGTTTGATCGAATCATTATCATGAACTTAGCGCACTCTGCTGATGCATTTGAAAACTAATTCACATTCCAATTAAGCTTCAGCATAATTCGGCATTGTGTGCCGGCACTGAGTCGGATTATGCTCTGTAATTGAAGAAGTAGCAATAACGCCGTGTGTTGCACCGCGCCGCAGGTAACATGACGGTGGGCGACTTGGTGATGGTGAACGGTCTCCTGTTCCAGCTGTCCATCCCGCTCGGCTTCCTGGGCTCCGTGTACCGGGAGGTGCGCCAGGCGCTCGTCGACATGCAGACCATGTTCACGCTCATGACCGTGCAGTCCCGGATCAAGGTGCGTCGCGCCCCCCACCGTCCCCCAATATTGAACGCAATATAAATAACTAGCGACCCGCCCTTGCTTCGCTTCAGAAACATTTTTATTATTAATAGCAGAGTTTCGCGATCCTACCCGCGGTTATTTTCGCCGCCCCGGGGCGGAGCTAATCCAAAAAATGTTAGCCTAAGTTACTCTTTAGATCATCAGCTATCTATCAGTGAAAGTCTCGTCAAAATCGGTCCAGCCGTTTGTAGTAAAAAGCGGTTATTTCAATATTACAAACAGACACTCCAACTTTATTTATATGTATAGCTAACGCAATATAAATAATAATGCAGGCTAAAGCATTCTTGAATGCATCGTCTCTATATGAAGACGATTTATTACTAAAAGCGCGGCAGAACAGATTTGGCTTGAGCAGCGGAAACACACATCGTTTGTACTATTTTTTTTATAAAATAAACTCAGTGCCAGTCACAGTTTCCTTTTTTTAAAAGAGCTGGATCCACCGCCCCCCACCCCTCTCCGTCCCTGGCAACTAATCCCGCCGCGAATTGTTCCAGGAGATACAGAAAGCTCCGCCGCTGGTCGTGGACAGTAGGACGGCCACGATAGAGTTCAGAGACGTGAACTTCAAGTACGTGAACGGGAAGCCGATATTCAACAACCTCAGCTTCTCGATCCCGGCCGGCGCCAAGATCGGCATCGTGGGCGGCTCGGGCTCCGGGTGAGTCCACACACTCGATACTAACACTACACGGCTTCAGTCTGCACAAGTGAAATAAGATAAAAAAATTGAACACCTGAGATAGGCACATGGTTATCAGTAACTTGCTGTGCAGTGAGGGGCCGCACGCTCCACTACTCGAACCGCTTGTCGCATCTGAAGTCGTCGTGGCCTAACGGATAAGACGTCCAGTGCATTCGTATGTAGCGATGCACCGGTGTTCGAATCTCGGGCGGGTACCAATTTTTCTAATGAAATACATACTCAACAAATGTTCACGATTGACTTCCACGGTGAAGGAATAACATCGTGTAATAAAAATCAAACCCGCAAACTTATAATTTGTGTATTTACTGGTGGTAGGACCTCTTGTGAGTTCGCGCGGGTAGGTACCACCACCCCACCTATTTCTACCGTGAAGTAGTAATGCGTTTCGGTTTGAAGGATGGGGCAGCCCTTGTAACTATACTAATATCTTAGAACTTATATCTCAAGGTGGGTGGTGCATTTACGTCGTAGATGTCTATAGGCTCCAGTTAACCATTTAACACCAAGTAGGCCGTGAGCTCATCCACAAACCTAAGAAATAAATAAAAAAAAGAATGGCCACCAAATAAAACTCATTAAAATATTGTCGACAGAAAATCCACAATGGTCCGACTGTTGTACCGATTCTTCGAACCGCAGTCCGGGAACATATTCATCAACGGACAGAACATCCGGGACGTGGACCTGGTTAGCTTGAGGAAGGCCATCGCAGTCGTTCCGCAGGTGAGCCAAACATGTTTCTGCGTCGATCTGTTATATCCCTAGCCTGTATAGACTAATGCTTACCGAACACCTTACTCAGCGTAAGCCCTCTCAGTGATCCCAGTGATTTCATGAGAATATTACAGTCTCAGTTGGGGTCAAATATTCATTGAGGTTTTTTTTCTTGCTTAGATGGGTGGACGAGCTCACAGCCCACCTGGTGTTAAGTGGTTACTGGAACCCACAGACATCTACAGCGTAAATGCGCCACCCACCTTGAGACATAAGTTTAAGGTCTCAAGTATAGTTAAAACGGCTCCCCTACCTTTCAAGCCGAAACGCATTACTGCTTCTCGGCAGAAATAGGCAGGGTGGTGGTACCTACCCGCGCGGACTCACAAGAGGTCCTACCACTTGTGAGACGTTTACCAATTTTCCTCTCTATATCCAAATTCTTTTATTATAATTAGTTATTCATTATAAATATTGTGTAGTGTCGAATAAATCCTTTTTTTAAAAGAGTTCGGCCTTCTCACTACTAACAGATCACAACCAACTTTTAATTTCAAATCCGATAACGTAAGCAACACGTAAGGGGATAAAGCCGGGGTCAATGATGCGACAATACAAACGAACCTTTATATTTGATTTTTTTAAGGGATTTTATGACCTGGCAACTAAGACCTTTAAGTCATGTCTTATTTTAATTTACATTCTTATTTTTATGAAAAACTAGTTGACCCGGCAGACTTCGTAATGCCTCAATATATGAATAAAAGACGTAAACTTTTTTATAAAATAAATTTAAAACAAACAAGGAATCCGTCCGACGGAGGACACATCAAAGGGAAAACAAAATTGTTATTTTTAATTAATTTCGAGCATTTTCATATTTATCTACCTTTTAAATCTTCTCTGGACTTCCACAAATCATTCAAGACCAAAATTAGTCAAAACGGTCCAGCCGTTCTCGAGTTTTAGCTAGACTAACGAACAGCAATTCATTTTTATATATTATATAGATTATGATAAGGAGTAAAACGAAATGAAATGAAGATGATTAATTTCAGATATTAATCCACTGGGATGAAATAAAATGAAATGAAATGAGATGAGATGATATGGAATGAAATATAATCTCAGTAAAATGTTGGTCTTTTACTGAGATTTTTTCAGTGGACTTTTTGGAGGATCCCGAGAAGTTACGTCCGGTGGCTTTGTTTCATTTTCCCACATTTGTGCACTTTCACAGATATTAAACAGTTAATAAACCACCGTTATTACACATTTAAACCTGAAGAAACACTAAATAGACAAAATAAAACAAATCACACAACTTCAGTCCTCGCGTTTCCGCCAAAAAGTCCCTTTATATTTGAAGTTCGTGAGTGTAGGTAATGAGAAAGTGTGTGTTCCAGGACTGCGTGCTGTTCCACGACACGATATTCCACAACCTGCACTACGGAGACCTGAGCAAGTCCCGGGAGCAGGTGTACGCCGCCAGCAGACTCGCCGAGCTGCACGACGCGGTGCTCACCTGGCCCAAGGTTAGGGTTTTTTGGAATAAGTTTTAAGTTTAGTACAAGTAAGCATTAAAGTTTATAATATTGAAATTTAAAAAAAATGCATTAATACTGGTTTGTTTAATACATATAATTGAATAATTTTTGAAACGAAGTTCCTTATGGGACGATGCGGAGGGGTACCCTAACCGGGAAAAACGTCCGTAACGTAAAATTTTTATTAGTAAATTATCATTCATTGACCACGATCACAGCGTTCGTTTGCGCAATACACTAACTCTTATGCAAACAACCGTGAATGAAGTGTACCACAATAAGTTCGCACGTTACCGAATGACCGTGGGTTGTTGCGAAACCTCCAGTTTTATTTTCTTTATATCTCGAATAGAACTTAAAATTAATATTTTTATAATAAGGAACTTCGTTCCTATCCGTTGTCCCACGACACCATACATCTTTTTCTTAATCCAGTAACAAGTGGTTCATGAAATTTGCAATTAAATGAACGTGTAGGGAAATGATACCCCGCTCACTAGGCAGTTTTAGTAATAAGCTTTTTACGTTAGTTAGTGATTAACGTGCAGCGATTCAACGTTCGACTGACATGATTATACATGTACAGTACCAGACAATGAATATTGCACATCGACTTTTGGAAAGAAACAATCTGTTAATTTCGTAATTGTAGTGTAGTACTTAAGTGACGTCAATTGTTGTTGAAACGCTAGTTTAAGTTGTTAATGTTTGGCGTGCGACAGAGATAGCACTCTAAGAAGCCGAAATTAGCCGATTTTCTTATTCCAAAAGTCGATGTGCAGTATTTATCGCCGGGTACTGTAATTATATTTAGTGCTTTATTGATCACTCCGATGAATTTCCAATGGACAACACAATGGAGTAAAGCTGTTGTATTCTTTGTACGAAGAGCACCGCTGCTTGAGATACAGGTTTTATTACCTAGATCAAGCACAGATGCAAATTATGATTGTTTTTCTACTTCTATGTTAATAATAAATAAATAAAAACTTACCCTCATTTGAAGTATTCAGGAAGGCATTAAAAAAGCACTTTTTTTTTTATTGCTTAGATGAGTGGACGAGCTCACAGCCCACCTAGTGGTAAGTGGTTACTGGAGCCCATAGGTATCTACGACGTAAATGCGCCACCTACCTTGAGATATAAGTTCTAAGGTCTCAGTATAGTTACAACGGCAGCCCCACCCTTCAAACCGAAACGCATTACTGCTTCACGGCAGAAATAGGCAGGGTGGTGGTACCTACCCGTGCGGACTCACAAGAGGTCCTACCACCAGTATCTATCGATTTAGTATTACTTATATGTATTTCATTATACATGTACGTGTATATATATGCTTATGTTATTTATGTGTGTAATTGTGTATGTATATAGTCTGATATATTATGTATTAGTGTTTTTATTTATTATTGTTACTATTATTGTTATTGTGTATTGTATCAATAAGTAAATTGATTAAATTGTAATCTTCTACACAACTAAGTTAAAAAAAAATTATTAACCATAGTAAATAACCTCACAACAAACTTGAGAAATGCAAGGATTAGGTTGGATTTACGAATCGAGGGTCCCGGCTGTGTTCCAGGGCTACGAGACGGAGGTCGGCGAGCGCGGCCTGAAGCTGTCCGGGGGCGAGAAGCAGCGCGTGGGCATCGCGCGCGCCATCCTCAAGGACGCGCCGCTGCTGCTGCACGACGAGGCCACCTCCAGCCTCGACTCCCTCACCGAGCACGTGAGCACCGCGCCCCTACACTACGCCTCTACACTACGCCCGCTAACTCATATTAATAATTAGAGGTCGGAGTGGGTAGATTGATTTAAGGTCGTTGACGTCAAACGTAGAGGATAATATGGATATGCCTCCAAAATACCGGAACTTCATATTTATTGTGATATTTCTTCAAGAAATTTGAAATTAACATGAATCTGTGTTTAAGGTAAAAAACGTATTAATAATATTAATCTACGCTACCAGTGCTAGCTAATGGTGAAAGAAATTAGTATTTTATTTTATACAAAAACACCTTGGAATAGTTACAGCGTATTTTGCCCCTTTCTGTTGAATTAGAAATGACGCTTGTCAGTATGAGACAAAACCTAGATAGGGCTTTTTGTTACTTTATCTCATAAATATAGATATTGTATCCGAGGAGGATTAAAAAAATTTTTTTTTTTCAAATACAAAGAAAACATTATGGATAAAATGGCATGTCCATATTATAATATCTTGACGTAGTATATAAAATCAATCTACCTACTCCGACCACTGCTAATAATACAATTAGCCGAGCCCAAGAAATCGCGACATTTACTTGACCGATTCCATAAATGCCACTAAAATGCTACCAATGCAAGCTGAGAAAGTAAAAATATAATAATAATAAAATAAAAAACTAGCATATAAACTCATAGCTACTGTATATTACTTAGCCAAAAGCCGGTACCTATATAAAGTTCTACCGGCTCTGTCTACAGACCCAACTGAGAAAGGGGAAACCTATGAACAATAAAAATAATAAAATCGTTTATTGCCTTTCACATTAATCCAGATTAATACATTTAGATTAAAAAAAAGAATAGAAAAACAAAAGGCAAAAGCAGGTTGCTCAGCTAATGCTATTCAGTGTAGATGAAGTGAACAGTGCTGATTCTCAGTCACCCCCGTTCCCCTTTGGTTTATTGTGAGATTCAATGCTAGGTACGTGTACGTGTGTACAGACTTAAACAGTGGTTTTACTGGTGGTAAGACCTCTTGTGAATTCGCGCGGGTAGGTACCACCGCTCCGCCTATTTCTGCCGTGAAGCAGTAATGCGTTTCGGTTTGAAGGGTGGGGTAGCCGTTGTAACTATACTGAGACCTTATAGCTTATATCTCAAGGTGGGTAGCGCATTTACGTCTTAGATGTCTATGGGCTCCAGTAACCACTTAACACCAGGTGGGCTGTGAGCTCGTCCACCAATCTAAGCAATTAAACTATAATACAATAAAACAAAACAAAAATTAAACGGTGAACCCGAATACAAAACATATTTAAATAAGCATACGTAACAACAACAAGCTTTGGGTAGTGTACAACGAAACAACAAAGAAAATAAAATCTATATATATATATATATAAATGAATTTCTGTTCGTTAGTCTCGCTAAAACTCGATAACGGCTGAAGCGATTTGGCTAATTTTGGTCTTCAATTATTTGTGGAAGTCCAGAGAAGGTTTAAATGGTAGATAAATATGAAAATAATAAATGAAAATAACAATGTTGTTTTCTCATTGATGTGGCGGACACATCGGACGGATTCGTTTTGTTTGTTTTAAGTGTATTTTTATACAAAAGCTTGGGTCTTTTATTTATTGATTGAGGCACTACGAAGTCTGCCGGGTCAGCTAGTAAATCTTAAAAGAACAACAATGTCCAGGCGATCCTGCAAGCGTTGAAGGCAGCGACGGTCGGGAAGACGTCGATCTGCATCGCGCACCGCCTCTCCACCGTGGCCGACGCCGACGAGATCCTCGTGCTGGAGCGCGGCGCCATCAGCGAGCGCGGCTCCCACCACCAGCTCGTCGCCAACCCCTCGTCCCTGTACTACAAGCTCTGGGAGAAACAGAACCAACATCCCTTATCCAAGTGATCAAGAACCTCAGCCGCCGACACTGCGACCACATGTTTTTTTTTTATTGCCCTTGTAGGCATACGAGCACACAGCCCACCTAATGGTGAAAGGTTACCGTCGCCCATGGACTTCAGCAATGCCAGGGGCAGAGCCAAGCCGCTGCCTACCGTCTCAAGAATTGACGACGTTCGCGTTGTTACGGGCTCGTGAAACCACTCAGTACAAGGTGGCTCGTGAAATCGTGCGCCCATTCATCATCAGAAAACGTTTTAAACTTCAACCTGGAGACTGTTACCATTTACTAATCAAAATTAGTTTATAGTGAAATTGTTGACAAACTCCTTTGTTGGAGTGGGGAGGATATTTTTGTTCGATAGTCGATTTTTCATATTTTATTTAAACGAAAAATCAATCGTGAGATGTTTAACTGTAATGTGCTACAATTCACTAATAAAACAACATTTTTCTTGGAATTCATAAAACATGAATTTATAAAAATATGATTATCGTGTAGTTATAAAATAAAAGTTAGTTAATGTGAATGCATCTTTAAATCGACTTTGTAATTGTTGATGTAATTATTTTGTTTTTGATGTAATCCGTCTCGATATTATTAGTGTTATATTTTATTATTTTGCGTTACTATTGTTGATAGAAGTTTTTTAAACACATACAGTTATTATTTTGTAGCGACAATATAATAAAGATGTAAAGGAATCTTTGTAACTAACAAACGTTTTGCTTCGAAACAGAAATATTCGATAAAATATATACAATCGGATCTTTGTTATAATAAACCAAATTAAAGAGAACATTACAGTCACTACCTTTTAAGATCTCTAAATTAAAATACATAAACAAGAAAATAATAGTAATCTTAATTTTGGTGCGCGGTTACAAATAAAAACGCTAGAACTTCATGGCCCGCACTAACGCAACATTCGAACTAAGAGAACCTAGAGTTGGGACACGCCCGAAAAATATCGATATCGATTTCTGATAATTGTCACTTTTAATCTATTATTGAATTATGTATTTTTTTTATTTTTGTTCTGTTCCGAATAATGCTATTAAAAAAATCAATCATCGGACTCGTTAAAAAACTTATATGTGCAATTCACACGTAGAAGTGTAACTTTTTGTGGTATTTTATTTAATTTTCTTGCGGATTAAGTGTTTTACAAATATAGCTTGTATTTTTTTAGTGTCACTTTTTATTTTCATTGAATTTTAAATCACAAAGGCGCCAAAGAACTTTTCATTTCAGTTATGAAATGAGAGATGAAATATTGTCGGTTCGCTTGGCTCGTGAATTATCGACTCTTATATATCCACGTATAAAACAATACGTAATGTGATGAAAATTGTTAAAGTATGCTCATTGTTAATAGAGATATGGTGTACAGTATCTGTTGATTAAGAAGTATATTTTGTTAAATAACAAACTGGTTGTTTTATTTTGGTGCTAAAAAAATTACGACTTTTTTGTTGACTTGAATATTAACAGATGATGCGTAATAGAGGAGGACGCACGTACGCGACCTGTGGGACTAGTGCGAGTTATTTAACGTTCTCGATAGCGTAAAAGTTAACTCAAATTTGAATGAAGTTGGAACAGCGCCCCTAGCGGAAAACGCAGGCAAACTTTCCAACTCCATACAAATTTGAGTTAACTTTTACGCTATGGAGAGCGTTAAAAAAACTCGCCCTAAGCACACCGGTATTGTGTATGGTAAGTACGTATTCACAACACTAGGAGTATTTTATCGACAACTCTGTTTCAGAGTATAGAGACTATGAAATACGTACCTAACAAATGTTCATCACTCAATCACATCGCGTAATAAAAATCAATCTCGGAAAAATTTTATTTGCGTAATTACTGGTGGTTAGACCTCGCGTGAGTCCGCGCGGGTAGGTACCACCACTCCGCTTATTTCTGCCGTGAAGCAGTATGTAATGCGTTTCAGTTTGAAGGGCGGGGCAACCGTTGTACTGTTAAAACTGAGATTTAGAACTCATATCTCGAGGCGTGTAGCGCGCATTTACGTTGTCGATGTCTACGGGATCCGGTAACCACTTCACACGAGCCGTGAGCTCGTCTATCCATCTCAAGGTGGCTGACGCCAGAATACGATTTAATCGTAGCGATAAAAAGACCCATCTAAGCAATAAAAAAAAACGGACGATGGGGGCACTGTGTTATCCCGTCATCTGAGTCGGATGCATATTGCGAATTGTATCTCAACAGGGAAAGCTGATATGATGTTGAATTGAAAATCTCACTTTGTAGTTGTAGTATGTATTTTTATGACCATTTTACTAAAAAAACTTCCCATTCATCAAAAAGTATCTTATATTATTATTTGTTTTTAATCCTTTTTTTAAAAAGTAAATTTAATAAGATTTTAATTATTATATACTTATAATAATAGTAATTTTATTTAATTATAATAATAGTAATAATTAGAGATTGGGAAGTAAAAAAAAAAAAAAAAAAATAGTGCAGCTACTTCGCCCTGTTCAAGAAAAAGCAAAACCATTAAAGTATGTACACTAAACATTGTGTGCATATTAAAATGTTTTTGCAAAACTTAATCCGATCTTGTCTCCGATTTAGAGATAAATGATTTTTCGAGGCTCATAAATAGACATCGTTTCTGTCAAAATTGGACATAACAATCCCGGGCAAAATATTTAAAATTGCTCACATAAAAAAAAAAAACTGGCTTTAATCAGAATTGCGCTACCGACATTTAAAAGATAGAAAGAGCACATTTGAGTCTTGTTGATCTCAGATAAAACATGAAAGTAAATATGTGTAGGTATAATTGAATATATATTATAATTGAAATATATAATTTAATATGGTATATAAGGAATAAATATATAAGGAGTATCCCTGCAACCTTCCGAGAGTATTGGGATACTTGGGGTCGATGGGGTCGATTTCGAGCGATGTCCAATTTCGGAGTCATTAGGAAGGCAAAGCCAAGTTGGCGTCCAAAATACTGGGAGTCCTCAACACAGCGAAGCGGTACTGCACGCCTGGATAAAGACTTTTGCTTTATAAAGCACAAGTCGGGCCTCGCGTGGAGTACTGCTCCCATCTCTGGGCCGGGGCTCCCAAATACCAGCTTCTTCCATTTGACTCCATATAGAAGAGAGCCGTTCGGATTGTCGATAATCCCATTCTCATGGATCGTTTGGAACCTCTGGGTCTTCGGAGGGACTTCGGTTCCCTCCATATTTTATACAGTATGTTCCAAGGGGAGTGCTCTGAGGAATTGTTTAAGATACCACCATCTCGTTTTTACCATCGCACCGCCCGCCACCAGAGTAGAGTTTATCCATACTACCTGGAGCCACTGCGGTCATCCACAGTGCGCTTCCAGAGATCTTTTTTGCTACGTACCATCCGGCTTAGGAATGAGCTCCCCTCCACGGTGTTTCTCGAGCGCTATGACATATTCTTCTTCAAACGAGGCTTGTGGAGAGTACTTAACGGTAGGCAGCGGCTTGGCTCTGCTCCTGGCATTGCTGAAGTCTATGGGCGATGGTAACCACTTACCATCAGGTGGGCCGTATGCTCGTATGCCTACAAGGGCAATAAAAATAATAATAATATCTGCCTATTATTTATCCAGCTAGGAACAAAATAGTTCAGAACGCTTAGTGAAACCAAAGAGAATTAGTTCGACCAATCGATCGCCCTGGCAACGTCAATCACAACAAATTGCGAATTAATAAAAAATAGTATTTGAGCCTCTTTCGTTGAACTCATTTTTACGTCATAATTTGCTATTCTCAAATTCTCAAATATAATGTACTTTTGAGTTAAAAAAGAATGTCTGTATTGAGTTTGATACCTGAAGACAAAAAACGGGAAAATAGGTAAGTCTGAAAAACGATCAAAGTGAAACTAAAGTCAAAGAAATAGGATGGATGAAGTTTTCCACTGGGTCGCAGCTACCTTTTTTTAGGATAGGTCCAGCAGTTGACGCCTTGCTGTTTCCATGAAAGTGATGGTCCAATTATTCTATCGTTTATAGGAATAGTGAGGTACCTAATAAAAGACGCAAGAAACTATTTGTATGTGATAACTATTTATGTTTGGTTAGTGTATCAAACAAATTATTTTTGACAATCGTATTTGGATGCCTGAAGTAACTTTGAAGTGGCGTATAATTTATATTCTCACTAGTTTAATACTATTGATGTAAAAATCAATTGAAAATTATTATAAAATCTCAACCTTGTTTATTCCACGCTAAATATTTCTACTTAAGAGAAGAAGAAAAAATCACAGCTTTCCAAACTTTAGGGCCCATCTTCAAGGTTGCATCACAATGCAGTGTGTCACTATCAGTTATCGCTTTCTCAGATGCTAAAAACTAATTTTAAATACAATTGTTCTGAAGTGAATAAAATACACTAAACTCATTGTGTGCTAATAGTGTATAAATTAGCAGCTTCACTTTCCAATAGGATCTAGCGTTCAACGACCTTGACTTTGAAATCCTTGAATCGAAAACAATAGTACGTTCAGTAACAATACGTCATTTATACCTCGCTCAGACCCATGTCACTCGCCAGTAAGCGGCTCTGGCGTCCTCTGGTTTTATGCCCGTGTACTTGCATAATTACTTTACAAAGGGTATTTCTATTCTGTTCTGTCAGCTGTACCTATTACAGAGGTCGCGGGTTTCATCATGGACATGTGTCAGTACCGATATGTTCGTTTTTTTTTATAGTTAAAGACATGAAGCGTGTTCCCGACTGATCGCAGTTTGTTAGGATAGTTTTAAAATGTGAAGGTATTTTTAAATCACCGGCTCATTTGTCAAACTCGGCTAGAGTATAGGAAAACGGAAATAATATTGGTAGAGGCCCAAACCATATGACTCTTTATATGAGAGTCAAACATGAAACTGCCGGACTAAAAACGCTTCTTATGAAGCCGCGTTAAAATCCTAAAAGTATTCAAATATAATGGACAAAATTTATAAAATGTATGCTGTGCAAGGATACGATACTGTGTAAATTATGAGCAAATTAGTGTTTCAGTCAGAGACAGCGGCGCTTTAGAGCCCCTACCATTGACCATTGCTTACAAGTGATCACTTACCACATTAGGCAGGTTATATAATTAAACAAAAATCTACGTTTCATAACCGTAACAGATTTTTTTTTATTGCTTAGATGGGTGGACGAGCTCACAGCCCACCTGGTGTTCAGTGTTTACTGGAGTCCATAGACAACTACAACGCAAATGCGCCACCCAGCTTGAGACATAACTTCTAAGGTCTCAGTATAGTTACAGCGGTTGCCTCACCCTTCAAACCGAAACGCATCACTGCTTCACGCCAGAAATAGGCAGGGCGGTGGTACCTACCCGTGCGGACTCACAAGAGGTCCTACCACCAGATTTTAATTATCTGATTGCGGTGATAGCCACGTTCCATTGAATGACCTAATAAGTATTATAAATAGTCATTGGTTTGCCCATTACACGAATTCTGAGACTTCCAGTACAATAGGTCGAAAAGTTATTCCTGTATCTTCTCTAGGAAGGAGTCCTTGGAGACCGTGTACAGCAGCGGTTCCCGTTTGACATTATTGAGTAAGAGGAAGAGGCACAATCTAGCAACGGAAATGTCGAACCACTCGATCGCCAGCAAGGACCGTTACGTCACCCAGCGAGTGCTCTCCGCGAAGACGCATAGAGTCAAACAACTGCAGAATCAGTTGGCTGACGCGCATTATCATTTACAGGTAATTGAATTTTACCGTCTCACGTGAGTACGTCTCTCGGCTATTTCTGACGTACACGATATACGATACACGATTAAGGCGGATATATTCAAAAATTATATCGAGTAATTTTGTTGAAGTCGACGTGGCCTAAAGGATAAGGCGCCCGGTGCATTCGTATGTAGCGATGCATCGGTTATCTAATTTCACCGACAGGTACCAATTTTTTCAATGAAATACGTACTCGACAAATGTTCACGATTGACTTCCACGGTGAAGGAATCGTGTAATAAAAATCAAACTGTACTAAAATGTTAAATGTCTTGGTTCGTAGTGATTGATGGATCTTCATTCTCGGCCTTCCGTATTATGAATAATAATTATACAACAGTACCTACTTGTTTACGTTTTGCAGGAACTGAGCAATGAGAACAGGGTCCTTAGAGCGATGCAAAAGAAGCAAGAGATCGCTTTACAGAGGTTTGTTAATTACCCGCTTATCTATTTGACTTTTATCGTCTAATCATACCCGATCCTGTGGACCGAATGGTGAACAGTCGACATCGCCTTAAAAATGTAATTACAGATCCTCCTGATCCATTAACGGTGGTTTTAGGTACCTCAAGCACCGGTCACCGTTCTGGATAGGGTTAGGCAAGTAAATTAATCCATAGACTCAGCCCAC